TTTATGGTATAGCAATAAACAGTTATGGAAGATATTCACTTGTGTTAAAATACGCAAGAATGGGATCTTTACGCAGTAATCTTTTAACAGTATCGCGAATGAAATGGATTAATAAATTAAATTTATTATATAGTATAGCTTTTATTCTTAACGCGATCCATTCTCAAGGCATTATTCATCGAGATTTGCATAGTGGTAACATATTACAAGATGTTTTGGATAGTGTGTACATTACGGATCTTGATCTTTCGATTCAATATATAAAACAAGACGGCCAGGTTTACGGGATCTTACCTTTTGTTGCACCGGAAGTTCTAGGAGGAAAATCATATACCATGGCATCTGATATCTATTCTTTTGGTATCATCATGTGGGAAATATTGTATGGAATTACTTCTACTTGTTATTTCAACCATGATCAAATTTTGGATATATTTTTTGGGTCGCGTCCACCTGTGAGCGAAAATGATTCCAATTGTAATGTAGATCTGATGAAACAATGTTGGGATCAAAATCCCGAGGTTCGACCATCATCCGAAGACCTTTGTGAAATTTTCAAATCGTGGCGAGATGATAATAAGATCATTCAGGAATCAAACGAATTCAAACCTGTTCTTAAACCCTCGGAAAATGATGCCGATGATCGTAAAAGCACACTACTTTCTCTTGAAAAGATTGTTCCGTATTTATATTAGTTTTTTTTAATAAGAAAAATATTTTTTATGTTTTAGTTGTAAAGTATAAACTATGATTAAAATTTTCTTTTTAAACGTTCATCTAAGATTTAATTGTATGATATGTACTGTATAATTATAAGATTTTCTTTCTAAGCATTCATCAAAGATTTGTTTTAAGTTTAATTGTATATGTATGATAATGATTAAAATATTCAAAATATAAGAACAATTACAATACTTTAAAAAATTTAAATAGCTCTTTATAAATAAAAACTACCAAGGGTAAATGTTATCTAAAATATTATAATTTCTTTTTAAAAATACTAATCTTTTAAAGAATTCGGGACTCATGCGAGTTCTCTTGGATCCAATTAAGTTACCACAATCTGAGAATAATCGTTCAGAAGGTGTAGATGTAGCTGAAACCGAGAGGTAAACACATGCTAACTTGCTGATAACCGGAAATCTTTCCTTATTCATATTCCACCACGCGAAGGGATCTGATTCAAAAGGTATTTGTGGAACCGCAAGGTATTCATCTAATTCACTTTGTAAATTAAGAGGCGAAGGATTGTTAAAGATATTCAAAAGTGTTGGCTTATAAAAAGGAGAAACAGTAGTGTTATGAAAATAAGAAGTGAATGAAGTATTAATAGTAGATATCGGAGTTGTTGAACTATCACGTGTTTCATTATATTTGATTCTTAATAATTCCTGAACCTGCTTAAATTTTTCAGGCGCGAAATCAAACTTTTTAACACGAGGGTCGAGAATAGAAGATAAATAGGATTCGGTATTATCTTTTTTCCAGTAAAAACGCATGGCTCGGTACAACGTTTCCTTTACTTTTTCTAAAACTCCAGATGTTTGCATGGGTTTATCTTTTTTGGTAAATCACCATCATCATCATAAATTTCAAGTTCCGCAAAAATATCTTTTATACTTTCAATATTTATTTCCTCTGGTGATATTGATACGGGTTTGAGCATGTCAATGATGTGTATCATTATAGGATTCATCGTGCTATATGTAACATATTTGCTACCACCAAGGTATCTAGTCGCCTCCTCAAAAGGGCCCAAAATCGGAATCAAATTACGAAGTAAATCCCACTCATCCTTTGTCAACATTATCTTTGTTAGACGTTGTGAATCTTTATCAGAATCATGATTTTTATCCTTGGCTAATTCAACCTCTAACACACGAATAAACGTTTCCAATTCCAGGAGACGGCCCCACGCCAGATAACTGGAGTTCCAGCGAGTTGGCACGTCTGCAATCACGTGTCTCAAATATGTCGAAGTCTTCTTAGCATTCTAAATGATACTAGTTATTAATTTATATATCAGACACATAAAAAAAAAATCAAATAGACATACGATAGATCGTTCCTTAAAAAATGAAAAATAAATATTTAATAATTAGATAAACAAATATAAAAAACTTTAAACCTCATTTGATCTTGCATATCGTTTCTGTATATCCTCCAGGCGCTCTGATTGCTTTGGTCTTAAAAAGAAATCAATCATGCGTTTGGCACGGCCAACCAGAATCTTAACAGGTTCCAATCCTTTCCCGATTACTAACTGAAGGGTATGTGCTGCGCACGGTTGCCATGATATGTTTTCTATTGTTTGTTTTAAATCCTTAACAGCCTTTTGCATGTTCTTACCATTATCTGTTGTCACTGTGAAAACCTTATCACGTAATTCTAATTCGTCCAACAAAGAAAGAATATTATCACCGATATTTTCAGCAGTATGAGGATGGCGGATGTGCTCAATGGAAAGTGTGATCTCGAAATAGAAAGTTACGATCAAGATACGAACATGTTATGCCTAAAAACCCTTGCCGGTTTTTACCAGTCCATAAATCACACGTTAATGATATAGAAATTGAATCATTTTTTACTTTTTCCATGATTAACTTGAACGAGTGATTATATGCAATATGTACAAGTTTCTTTATAGATTTAATGCATGGAATTTTGAACTTTGGATCTAACTCGTTTATAAATTTTTTAAAAGCCGGATTTTCAAGAACGATGAGTGGTTGGGAATCGGCTATGATCCAGTCCGCAAGGTATTGGCATAATTGAATCTGACGTGGCTCATTATGGGGTATAATAACTAACTCTGTATTATTTATATTTTTACCTTGGTCTTCAGTTATACCATGAGCGCTTGAGAGATGAGAAGAGCAGTTACTCGTTGACGTGTTGACCTTGTATTTTGTACCACATTTTTTTCCCTTTACTTTCTCGACCTTACAAACCGCATGTCTTACATTATCAATATACACTGGATCAAAGTACAGCCAAATCCAACTTCTGATATTACTACCACCACGGATAACATCGACTTTTGTTTTTTGATTAGAAGTCTTATCAGATGCATCAACATCATATTTATTACTAACAGACATTTTTCAATAAAATTAAAAGATGAAACGTTGGCACAGGTCATTTTATTTCTTTGATTCGTTGTTTGCTAAATCAAGTAATACCAATAAGAAAAAATATTTAAAGAATACATGTATTATAACTATCCCAGTTAACAAACGAATCAATAGTTTGAATTGCGCATAGTTTAACTATAATCCGTATAGTAACAGTTAAATATAGTTCCAACAGTTCAAACAGTTAACTACAGTTAACTACAATCTGTATAGTTTGAACAGTTGATCTACAACATGCATACGGATTAAACAGTTTACACAAAAATATACGGATACGGATTACACGAAAATACGGATTTTGAACAGTTATCCGGATTGCCGATCAACGGATCACACCTCTACCATAAACAAATATATATTACTGTATTTCATTATATTAACACATATCGATGTATTTAAACATTCTTTAAAATGACTGAAGGTAAGAAAAAATTTATGTAGACATTTCTTAGCACCACTACAAGATATTATAAATGTTTCATGATTCATAGTTGAACCATTGCACAGAGGTCTAGTCAAGGCTCACGACGGTCACATTTTAAGTTTAGATTCTTCCGGAATTTTACAATTCAAATGGGATGTCAAGAATGATAGCCCTACAATGTTTGAAATTTCAAAAGATAGTGAACTTCTTGATTACAAAGGAGACCGTGTTTATTGGATACCAAAGGATGATGGATTAAGGGAGAAAAAGTATTGGTTTAAGATTGAAAAGTTTGGACCTAACGAGGTGAACTGATAAAATTGATAAAAGATGTTTACTATCATAATTAAAATGGTGATGAGAAAGTTTTATTTATTTATTTTTTTTTGATCAGTTCTTTTTAAAAGCAATGGTATCGGAAAATAGAGAAACTGGAAAATATCTTTCGTTTACTTTAGAAGATTTGACATTAAAGGATCAAACTTCAGCTTCATCTGAATTCATTATTGCCAAAGAAATTTAAATTTTTATTATTATTGTTAACCTACGAAAGTCATCTGCCACAAGATATTTAAGTACGGGTAGAACAAAGAGGTATTAGTTGTTATATAGTTATATTTTAAACTATATCCTAGATTTATCTTATATTATTGTGTGTGTATTATTTATTTTTGTGATAATAGAATAAATCGTCATTCTTTAGCGAATGTGAATAGTGTTCGCATAACGAATATAAAACAAAACTGAGCTGTGATGTAGTCATTTGAGAAGTCACCAACGGTAGTACTGTTATTTTGAGTTAAAGCATTGTGCCAAATTTAAGATAAATAGAATATATGGCACAAAACTCTAAATAAATGCACCATAGATGCTAGATATTCTCTAAAGTGCATTTATAAGCGTATTAACTTTAATGCAATAGTGTAATATTAATATGTAATAAAAAGGATGTATGAATGAATGAATTTAAGGAGTGCAAGCTTTGACCCCTAAGGAGAGTTATTCATGCATCCCTTCCCCATAATTACATTATAAAAGCTACTCCTCTATCCTGAAACGAACGTACTGAAAACTTGAGCCAATTATCACTTCGGAGATGATTAAAAACATATGCAGTAAGTATTTATGCTACCTAACACTCAGAAACATACAAATACGTAGAATGTCTTAGTGTAAAGAGTAATGAATAATTTGCATAACATAGCACAAACATAATGTGTGAATTATTTTATTTAAAAAAAAAATCAATAGGGCTGAAAATAATTGATTAATCACATGATTATTAAAGAAATTTGGCTCCAAAATGAGAAGAGAAAAATTATGAGGATGCCGGGAAGGTAATAAGGTCACATGGATGCCGAATCTGAAGGTGTTATTATTAGTCTAAAAAAAAAAAAGTCTATGAGGAATTGTATAGGAATTAAGAAAAATATTATTTGTAATTAACTATTTATATTCTTAACAATTTGAAACACTTCCCAATCCTTCCATCTAAAACTGCCCTGCCTATTGAAAACACCTGATTTATAACATCTATTCAAACGATACCCCACAGGTTGATCGCGCTTAAGACTAACGTAAAGATCTGGTCCAGAGCCGAAACATGGCCCACCTTCTGGATGATCATATATAGCAGAATCTATCTGATCAGATAAAATGTATCCATATTTCGCATCTTCTGCTTTTTTTATATCGTTGCTAAGAGAAAATATAAAACAATCTTTTGATCCACGACTAAATGAAAGCCACCCTCTTTGCCACCCATCATTTAATGCATTATAACCTCCAATAATTTCGTTAGTGCCTTCAACTTTGATTACAATGAGTGTTGGGCCAACGTTATCACATTTTTGGTGAAAAGAATGTCCATTATCATCACAACTCGCTCGATATAGTAAATTAAAATTATAAGTATAATTAATGTTTCTATTAGATTGGAATGGTTTTTTCTCAATCCAGCTTATAATATTTTTACCACATTTCGGATTAATAATGACAGAAGAATTGATTCGTATTACTGGATTTCTTGATGCTGGTAACATTATTGAATAAAGACAATCCGTTTGGTAATAGTGCATTATGTTGTTCAAAAGGCTTTCAGGTAAAATCTTTGAGAAAGGTTGAACGTGTTTATAAAATTCTGAATGCGACATTTGAAAAAATCTAATATATGGTATACATCTATGTAGGGTCCTTTCTAAAGATGTAAAATTTTCAGGTGACCATTGTTCAATGCGTCTTTCGAGACCAGGCGTGTTTGCAATTCCCCATTTTAAAACATATTCCCAGAGAACAGTTTCACTCAAACCAAGATCATCACGTTGTAATAAAGCCAAAAGTACGAATTCATTTAAGGAGGGGAACCAATCAGCGTCAAAGAATGATGACAGATCACGTAAGATTATTTCATCAAGACAATATTCTCGTAATTTTCGGCAAGAATTACGAGGAGAAACAATAGTAAGAATATCTAAAAGGTTTTCGTCTATCCAAGCAGCTTTTGAATGAATCAAATATGTTTGAACATGATCAATTAAAACATCATCAATCATTATTTCGTCAGCAGCAATAAGAAGATCAAGAATATCAAAAGGATCATGATCTTCTAAGTGAAATATTTCACCATAAATGTATCTGTAAAAAATGAACGTAAGTACAAGATAGAATATTTTGTAGTTACAAATTACAAATTTACCTTAATATAATTTCAAAAATATTAGGAGACACATTAGGTTTCTCAAATATGATAAGATTCTCTTGTTTTTTTGTCCATTCATGTGATAAAGCCCTATTGAAATAAGGAGACCTAGCTCTCAATATTAACGAATGAGCTTTAAATTCTTTCGTATTTGGAGGTTCGCCGACTTTTATTTTAATATCATATCCTTCAGGGTTATGTATTAACTTTATAATATCGTTAGATAACTGTGTTAACAATTCAGAATACATTTTTTAATGAGAAAAAGGAATGGTTGATATAAAGGGACCATATTTTCAAGTGATCTGATTTTATTTATTTATTTTTTTTTGCATCATTATTACAGTTAATCCTAAATGCTCAGCGTTATTCATTAATAATCTATACTAAATAGTAAAAAGATATGAAAAGTTTGTGATGCAAAATTATTTAGGTATATTATCCAAAATCAGTAAAGTGCAATTACTGAATGACTAAATATGTTTTAAACTGTAATGTTTTCTATTTGAATCATGTGTGATTTACATGCTATTCTTTTCCTAACGAGTAAATGATTGTCTGCTTGACTTACACGTGACATTATCTTCATACAGTGACCGAAACGGATTAGTTACTGTCATAGTTGTCATGACATGAGTAGGTCAGTTGATCATGGAAAACCTGACCTAATCCAAGTAAGCCAGGTTATAACATCGATATATATAGCTATTTTCTCAGTGAGACGAATCGAATGTTACCAAATGGTTCAATTCCAATCATCATAAGATATATTTATTTAGCTTGTATTGTTTAAAAAAAAAAGTAAGACGTCACGTACCAATTATAATATGTCTTAATTATTGAAGTTCTTACAGAGATGAAGCGTGTAACGGGTTTTTGTATTGAGGAAATTGACTTTAATTAATTAAATTATTCGCAATGATAACGATAAATCCTACATAAATCAAATAATTTAGGATGTGTATGGTCGATTTACTGTATTTGGTACTATGATGTTATCTCGTGATTTAATGACCAGTTCCAAGATTAGCTGTTAGAGAATCGCAAAAATCAAAAAACAACCCAAGACAAATCTAACAATCGACCATCATCAATAACTATTATCATTGGGTCTGATGTAATATGCAATTTCAAATAAGTTGATAAATAAAATATCAAATAGATAATATAATAATTGCATTGCAGGAGATTTCTATTCTGCAATATATATCGATATGGCATTATTACTATATGTTGCCGAAACTGTGTGATACTATTAATCACAACACAGTTTGGATTACATCACTAAATAAAGACCATTGACAAATCTGTTTGAATATAGTATCGCTCAAATCATTTTGTCTGTCAGTTTAGTTTGCTTCATTTATAAATCCGTATTTATAATTTCTACAACTCAATATCAGTTGTAAATTTAATTCTAGTCTAAATGAGTTTATGATTTACAATTCGTCTCGCCAACCCAATCAAGATCACAGAATTCGTCTTTCTACAGTACGCTTTCTGTTATGAAGAAAAAAAAAAACTTTATAATCGATTGCTTGGTTAATTTACCTTTTTTGTGTACTCCGAAATGAATTTAAGCAAGTATATTGACGATTTATTTATTTGCGCGGGTAACACAAACCAAAAAAGAAAATAAAAATTTTGTAAATAAACTAAGTGCGTAAATTTTTTATATGTAAAATTTCATCCTCGTTATTTTTTTATTAGTTCACCAAGGTCGATTTAAACACTAGTTTTTGAATATTTTCGCCTTTTCTTTTTTCTTCTTTCGCACGTGTTCGGATTCTATGTCGGCTGATCTGGAATACCCGACATTTGTGTTCTCTGATTGTCCATTTCCTTTTTAGAGGCTTGTATTACCCGCGCAAATAACGTACTATATAGATAGTTATTGGATGCGAAGCAGCCAATAATAATTTTTATCGTCATCGTTATTCGAGCTTTTAAGTAAATGCATATATGTCGCTGATTAAATTTTTCAGGAACCAAGCCCAATAAGTTATAAACCTCCCCTGGCGGGCACTCATATGAAAATCAATATATCGGTATGGTCGGTATGGTATCGTTCAATAGCAATATCGATATAATGATATTTAGAAATCCCTTTCTAAACAGTATACATCGGCAGGGTCAATCATTTAAAATTTTAGTAACAAATAATATGTTATATATTTGTTATTACAAAATATACAGTATATAAACTCACGCTCTTGGGACTGAACTTTAACAACATATATTTAGAGCAATAAAAAAAAGTTTATAGAGATTTTGTATATATTTAAGCCAGAGGTTGAGTATGCATTTAAGAGATGTGTATTTATAGAGTGTGTATTTATAGAGGTTTTACTACAATATAGTTTTTTTTAACAAACTTATTTAAAAAATTTAGAATATTGTAATATAATTGCAGATTCTTTAATAATTAAGTACTGTATTTTATACTGTTATAGAATGGATTAGATACCTCCACAAGACCCAGAAGATCTCCATGATCATAACAAGCTATAATACATAAGAAATGGACCAATAGTTGGTCAGATAATTAGAAATATACCTTTTATATCTTTTATATCTTTTATACCTTTTATACCTTTTATACCTTTTATACTTTTTATACCTTTTACACCTTTTATATCTTTTATACCTTTTATACTTTTTATACCTTTTATACTTTTTATATCTTTTACACCTTTTATATCTTTTGTACCTTTTGTATTTTTTATACATTTTATTTTTTTATTTTTATTTTTTTTTATTTTTTTTTTTTCGGTGTTAAGGTGACCTCTTTGGCCATAACTTTTTATTAGAAGTTAAGTTTCAGTTACAATGAGG